TGCGCCAGGAAGCTGTTGAAAAAATCTACCTCTTCTGATTCCATTAGTGAATCAAATGCCCACCAAAAACGACCGATGGGTAGACCAACTCGAGCTTGTATTGCAGTGATAGGTAAGGGTCTGCAATTTGATCTAGCGTAACTTTACGATATATAGCTTATGATGCCATTCTTTACTTGGTTATAGATGCCATTATGGCCCGCAACAAATTCTTCCGGCAGTTCAGGTAGTCGGTGGTATATATAGTGTCACCTTCTATCAACCCATCAAAGTCACTTGAGAGATGGTCCAACAACAGAGAGCGAAGAAGCTCCTAAGTTTGGTGTTATTTCTATGTTAGATCGTGTAATACGTCCCATGCAAATTACTCGTCAAAAATGCTGGAACTGAGAGATGCACCTGAGACAAATTCCAGTGTCTGCACAATGAAGAAAGTGTTTGGAAACCGTGTTCCTGAAGAAGAACGCGAAGCTCCGATTGAAGGTTGGTGACATATTCCCTGGAAATAATCCGTTACAGAAATGAAATTTGCGAAAGTACATAACACGAATTTGATAGGTACAACTTACTCTGCAAAAAGCTCTCCTCCCGATATCGTAAAGCCAACTTTCTCATCCACAAGTTTTTGTGCTGTTCGTTCAACATGATCGAGATCCACATTCAACGAGGTGGCTATGTCAGTCAAAGGAGCACGCCCACCCAGAGCAACGCATTCATTTCGCACCTAAAGAAAGATCAATATTACAAAGAGTATAGAACAAATAGCCGACTTTCAATCACCACTTTTCCTAGCGCAAAAGATCTACTTTTCGGTGAAGCGTTTGAAAAAAATGTTGTACGAAGTTGTTGGCACAAGTAGGCATAATCTCATAATCTCTATGTAGAGGTTGCTGCCTTCCCATATGATGCAAAAATGTAGTGCTTTGACTCCGTGCAGCGATGATAAACTATAGAACTTTTCTGCCTAATAGCAACATCATTTTCGCTGAACTCAGCCATCTACTTTCCGTTCAATAATTCGTTTCCTATGCAGAAGTTGTGAAGAACCCTACCTCAGTAGCCAGATGCTTCTGTGTGATGTACGAATGTCCATCTCTTGTAAACACCACATCAATCAATGACCTTTGGATGAGTTTTGTCACCACTTCAACGCAGTTAGCTTCCGAAAGCCTAGGGTAAGTTTGTGATTGTTATGAGAAAGCGAACGAAACGTTTAACTAAGTGTTCGTCAGAGGAGTGGGAACTAACTTCTTTGCTGACTGAGAAAGCTGCACTCTTTGAAGATCAGAAACAAGGCGCTGAATATCCGCCCACGTTGCCATTTGCCAACCTATAGATACACACTCCTTCAGACGAGTACCGATGGACAATGATTACTTACACATTTCGATGTTATCTTATGGAGTAAAGTAATAGTTCAGGATTACCTTTGGACAGCACACAATAAATTTCAGTACATTTATTGGCCAGCAATAAATAATTTGCACAAAACCAAGCGGCGTGAGCCGTATCACAGAAGAAGATACAGTGAAAACAGCAGATCACACATGAAGTCAATAAGAAAAACGAACAAAAATTAGTGGGAAGGGATAAATTCAAAAGCTGAATAAGATCACATGTAAAATTGCAGTTGTAAATCTTATACTTCATTGAGAAGGCTCTAAGGCAGTTGCTTCTGGAGCGGTATCCTTCTGATCATCCACATCATCTGAAGCAAAGCATAAAGATAAAGAAAAAATAATGATACAACTTACCACTTTTTGAGGGCGGCTCCTGATTCCCTGCTGCAAACGTTTTTGAGTTCCCAGCACTATCAATGGTTTCAGGCCTCGAGCGGTCGATAAGCTTAGGCAGTCCCTCGATGCTGATATTTTTCTCGACACTTTTGTCATGGCAAAAGGAAAGATCACGGAATATCTAAATGTGGATACTTGGAGTAT